GTTATCTGCATCCGCGATCCATTCAGTAACAGTTTTGTCCTGTTTTTTGTTACCTTTAATTAAGTTTTGAAGCTGTCCCTAAAAATGACGATAAAAATAAATATTTGCAATGAATCGCCGTAGCACATGCACTACCCTTGGTTTTGGAAAATTTGCAATTGTTTCAATTTTCTTGCCTGGTGGACGGATTCCTTTATGATTAATGAGATGACCAAGGAATGTTACTTCTTCCTGTGCGAACACACATTTCGCAATGTTTATTTTCAGACCATGTTCCTGTAATCGTTGTAGCACGCTGCGCATATGTTGTATGTGCACGTCTATGTTATCGGATGCGATACAAATATCATCAATATAACATATGGCAAAGTTAAACCCGAAAAGAACTTGGTCCATGAACCTTTGAAATGATTGTGCTGCATTACAAAGTCCAAGTCATTACATTAAATTCATATAGGCCGAAAGGTGTGATTATTGCTGGTTTTTCTCTATCCTCTTCAGCAACCGATATATTAAAATATGTCTTTTCTAAATCTAATGTTGTAAAAATGTGTTTCCCCATTTAGAGAATGCATGAAATCTTGCATATGTGGAATGGGATAACTCTTTGTGCATTTAGTTGACGGTAGTCGCCACAAGGCCGCCATAAGCCATTTCCATTTTGCACCATAATTAGTGTGTTCGCCCATTCGCTCATGAATGGTCTACAAATCCCTTGCTTCATCATATACTCGAACTTTTGCTTGGCTGTTTTCAGTTTTTGCGCATTTAGCCGCCGTGAACGCGAAAAAACACGCTGACCAGTGTTGACAATCTGTGCACGAATCTTTGTGCACAATCATTGTTTTGTGCGATGTGAAATTTGAAATCGCACAACAAATTTGAGTGCATGCATTTTTTTTGTTAACACCACAAATGTGCGTGTGCATATTTTAAAAATAATTTCCACTCGCACAGTGCAGTGTGCGATTTTGTGCACCACATTCCGAACTCTGCTAAAATGTCTTTTGAAGTTACTAGTATAGTGTTGTTGTTGCTTTTTATGCTGACGGTCTGACGTCAGATTTATTATGTATGATTGAAATTATCTGGTGGTAATTTCAACCTTTACACTATCCATTTCAATTGAAGTGCAGATTGATTCGTATTAGACAGAAAACCATTCGTTTCAATGTCGGTTTTCTGGCTTGCTGCTAATTGGTTAAGGTCAACTTAGTCTTCGTTACTGACAGCTTTGATGCGTATCAGAAAATAGGGTACCGGATTATTCTTGCCAGCTATATGCATAATGTCAGTTGTGAATTGACCGATGTAATCTAACTATCTCAGTTGGCGTGGCGATGCCTTTTCTGGTTTCTGTCGAAATGCATATGTTATCGGCTTATGATCGGTGAAAATAGTGCAACGTCTAACTGCAATCGCATGTTTGAAATATTTGACCGATTGGCAAATCGCGAGCAACTTACGGTCGTACGTGCTGTACTTGGCTTGAGTGTTCGTCAACCGCTTTGAGTAAAACCCCAAAGGCTCGAGTTGTCCGTTATTGATATTATTTAATGCAACGCCAACCGCTACGTTACTGACATCCACGTGAAGTACGAGGTTTGCGTCTGGGATTGGGTGAACGATTGTTGTTGCATTAATTAAGGCTTCTTTGTGTTCCGCAAATGCGTTATCTGCATCCGCGATCCATTCAGTAACAGTTTTGTCCTGTTTTTTGTTACCTTTAATTAAGTTTTGAAGCTGTCCCTAAAAATGACGATAAAAATAAATATTTGCAATGAATCGCCGTAGCACATGCACTACCCTTGGTTTTGGAAAATTTGCAATTGTTTCAATTTTCTTGCCTGGTGGACGGATTCCTTTATGATTAATGAGATGACCAAGGAATGTTACTTCTTCCTGTGCGAACACACATTTCGCAATGTTTATTTTCAGACCATGTTCCTGTAATCGTTGTAGCACGCTGCGCATATGTTGTATGTGCACGTCTATGTTATCGGATGCGATACAAATATCATCAATATAACATATGGCAAAGTTAAACCCGAAAAGAACTTGGTCCATGAACCTTTGAAATGATTGTGCTGCATTACAAAGTCCAAGTCATTACATTAAATTCATATAGGCCGAAAGGTGTGATTATTGCTGGTTTTTCTCTATCCTCTTCAGCAACCGATATATTAAAATATGTCTTTTCTAAATCTAATGTTGTAAAAATGTGTTTCCCCATTTAGAGAATGCATGAAATCTTGCATATGTGGAATGGGATAACTCTTTGTGCATTTAGTTGACGGTAGTCGCCACAAGGCCGCCATAAGCCATTTCCATTTTGCACCATAATTAGTGTGTTCGCCCATTCGCTCATGAATGGTCTACAAATCCCTTGCTTCATCATATACTCGAACTTTTGCTTGGCTGTTTTCAGTTTTTGCGCATTTAGCCGCCGTGAACGCGAAAAAACACGCTGACCAGTGTTGATAATCTGGTGGCCAACCGTAGTCTTAGGCTTGTTATTGTAATTGTATGAAATGGGCATTGTCACCTCCTTAAATGAGCTTAGTAGCTCTTTGAATTTGTGGTCGTTCTAAATGGAAAAAATTGGCTCATATTCAGTGTGTTTCGATGCATATTGGGTATTCAACTTTGTTTGCGTATCGCTCAGGCATCTACGTTTTACATTTACCACAAGACCGAAATATTTCAAGAAATCGGCATCCAAGATTGGTTCTGAAACATCGGCCGCCACCGATGAAGTCTCTACTGGTTTCCCTGTTGATTGAAATTACACGGCAAGGAACATTTTTTTGATTCCGCACTGAAACAATAGTGATAGTAACAATAGTGATAGTGATAGCATAACGTCTTAATTGCGAATCAGTACGAAGTCGACGACGACGTCGCTTGCGATCTGGAGTTTGAGATTTTGTTCCGCTTCGTCTTTGTGCAGTTATCATCTCCGCAAACTGTCAAGGCGTCTATGGCTTTCATGATATGATCATTTATCTGTGCATATGTGTTGATGACAGCTACAGAATTGTAGTTTCCCATTTTCAACATCAGGTCGAGGTGCACATTTGTCCAAGTCAGCCTCCGAAATTGAAACGACTGCTCGCACTACTTCTGGCAAACGATCCAGCCACAATTGTTTTATTGCTCAATCGTTCATGGCGCCGCTGGTTAGATCTTGCATAATGCGCAACAAATGTGTTGGCTTGTTATCACGTAACTGGCACTCCTGTACTAGTCGCTGCAATTTTCGATTTTCAGAGTTTGCAAAATCTTGAACTAATCGCTTTTTAGTCGTTTCGTGTTTTTCTATTGCAGGAGGAACACGAAAGATATCTGCTATATTTCTTAAAGTAGCACTGTCGCTACTGAAGACAACATGATCATATATAGTTTGGTCGGTTGTGATTCCTGCATTTCGGAATTGAGATTCTATCTGGATAAGTACAGGTCTGGATCCCTCTTGCAGAATGCAGGTGCCTTGATACCGATGCGGCGAATGTCACCTCAAGGTTGTTCGTTTGTGTAAACATTTGGTACGTTACTATCTGCAGGCGTGTTGTTTCTATCTGGTGCGCTATTGTTGCTTGATTTGACTTCCGACATTTTTGATCACGTCGGGGTCACCAATTGTAGGCTTTACCCTACTTAATTTAATTCTTATTTGTTTATTTAAACAAGAAATAATAATTCAATTTCATGTGATGAAATTATACGTGTTGGTTCTTGATTTTTAGATTCGGAATCGCAAATAGAATGACAACTATTTTTTACTAAATAAAAATATTCTTAGCTTTTTTACAAATTTTCTTGCATGGCCAACTCATTTTATTTTCAATATTTTACTTGTCCATATTTGCATGGCCAACTCATGTCATTCTCAAAATTAAGTGGTGAATATGCAACCGCCACAACATTATTAACATTATTAAATTAATATTGTTTAATAATATATATATATGTATATATATATGTGGCAACAGTACAACCAACAGTACAACGACTCGTAAACATATCCGATTGTCACTTTTGAAGAAAACAACACACCTGGTAATGCTAAACAAACAAGAATGCTAATGGTAATGCTAAACAAGCACATTGAATTGTTAATTTTCTGTTACTAAAGTAGTTTTGTATTTGTTGTATCTGGTATTCTAAATAAAACAGTCAATGAAAACGACTAAAGTGGTGACCCCGACGCGCAAAGTGAAAAACTTACAGAACTAATTTTTTGAAAGTGTAAAATAACATTAGTTTTAAAAATGTTAACAGCATTCACTAAAACTATTAACGGGCTTATCCAACACGCACCACCGTCATTACAAGTATCAGAACAAGAAAACTTTGAACGACTAAAGTGGTGACTTCGTTAAAAAATCAAATAAAACTCTACGAAGTAGTGCATCTTATGCAAGAATACACGCGCTAACTGTGTTCTAGACAAATACATAACAACATGGCATTGAACGCGGAACAAACTACAAATACACAAGTAGACTCCACAGAAATAACACAATGTGAAACACAATGTGAGAGTCCCGAACTTTAACAAAACCAATCCAACGGTATGGATTGCACAATTGGAAAGAGTTGTTCGTCTAAACAATATTCGAGACGATATAGACAAATTCGATTGGGTTGCAGTAAATTTGGATGAAGATATCGTTATGGTAGCTGAAGATTTCATTACGAATCCTCCAACAAATAATAAATATGACACACTTAAAACACGTTTGTTGGGAAAATTTGCAGAATCAGCCGAATCCAAGTTGATTTGTACACAGCTGTTCAACAACTTACTGACCAAGCTAAAAAGCTGCAGGTTGAAGTTAAGCAACTCAGGAAAACAATCACAAGTCGCAACTGTATCGATCGCGCTCGCCCAAAACTTTAAGCGATGTCAACGGTCAACAGCGACGGCATAACAATTTATGTTACTACCACACCAAATTTGGGGATAGTGCCACCAAGTGCAAGCCAAGCTGCTCACGATGGGCACCTTTAAACTAAAAAAGCTGTCGTCAAGCACACTAGTTGACGGCAGTAACAAACAACTAGATCACATAACCAGTGATTCAGCTGTAGCAGAAAAACAACCACTCATAAATAGTGAACGCCTTTTTGTCGTCGATCGTATATCATGTTTTCGTTTTTTGGTTGACTCGAGCTCAGTTGTATCAGTAGTGCCACGGCATTTGGTAAAATTCAAAATAACACAAGGAGAGCTCCAACTATACGCAGCGAACCAAACTCTCATTACCGCATTTGGCAACAACACAATGGAATCAGACTTAGGTTTACGCAGATCATTTAGGTGGCAATTTATCATCGCAGATGTCGAAGTTGCTATTATTGATGCGGATTTCTTAAACCATTTTCATTTGTTAGTTGATCTAAGAAGCAAACAGCTTATAGACATGACGACGAAGCTTAACACACGAGGTGGTCTTTCAGCTTTTCCGCCATCAACCATATATACAATAGACGAGACAGCCAAGTTCAGCAAACTGCTCAAAGAAGTCGTTATATATTACACGACCAGTGTTGAAACAGCCATTTCCCGACGCTCGAAAGCATGTGGTTTTTCATCAAATTGAGACAAGAGGCAACACTGTGTTTGATCGTCCCAGAAGGTTATCTGGACAGAAACTTGCTGTGGCAAAAGCCGAAATCACTTTATTACTGGACCAAGATATTTGCCATTTGTCAAAAAGTGCATAGGCAAGTCCTCTACACATGGTGGCGAAAAATAATGGTGGCTGTCGTGCTTGTGGCGACTATCGAAAGTTGAACGCAATAACGATACCGGACAGGTATCCTATCGCTCACGTGCATGATTTTGCGGAACAGTTACATAACAAAACGTTGGTTTCAGCACTCGACTTAGTGAAAGCATATTAACAAATCCCAATGGCAGAGGACGACATCCAGAAGACTGCCGAGAGCACACCTTTTGGCCTGATTGAGTTCCAGTACATGCCCTTCGGATTGAAAAACGCGACGCAGACATTCCAACGTTTCATGGACCAAATTTTTCGCGACCTTGTTTCGTGTATTGCTATATTGACGACATTCTTATAGCTTTAA